TGGCTATAACTCTCCATCTTACGGCCTGCCTTTACCAAAGTACGCATGCCCTGGCTGACCACAGCAGCGATCCACATTGTAATAAGGAAACGCTCACTCAGTATCTTGCTTTGACCTATTTCTATACCTCATGAATAAAGGACAGGATATGAGATTTCCTGAGATTAAGAAAAAAATTAAAGCCATAGGGAATTAGTAAAAAATTCTTTAGAGCCTGTTTAGAGCTGCAGAAGAATTAAGGATGAGGAAAGATAGTAGGGCGAGAGATAGCTCAGTGGCTGAGAACTTGCCTAGAGTGTGCAAGCTCTGGGATTCAATTCCTAGCACTGAAAAAAGAAAATAAAGAAAAGAGAGAAGATAAAAAAAAAAAACCCTCCAGTTACACTAAATAAGGCTGATTTTGTCTGAACCAGCCGTCTCCTGTAGACTTCTACATTTAGTTCTCCCAACAAGTTAGAACCGCATTCGCTTGAGCTGAACTCAGTGAGATGCGAAAATCCTGGAAAACAAATGTCAGAAATACTCTGTGAATCCTCATCTCAAGAATTTTAATTACATTTTGAGACATCTGGGTGTTTCCGTAACATCTGGAAGAGTCTTTTTAAATTGTAGCACACAGCTTTGGCAAGAACCAGATTCCAAGGTGCATGTTTGCTAATTAAAAATAAAGCAGACGCAGAGAAGGCGGACATAATAAATAGATTTGTGGCATTATAAAGCCAGGAGGAATAATCAAAGGTGATGGATCGTGGGAACAGGAATGCATGAGGTTTACCTGTTGCTCCTTGCTGTGTGTGTGGAGACTTGGGGAGGATATTAGGTAAAATTACACACACACACACACACACAGACAGACACACACACACACACACATACACACACACACACCATAGATTCCAAAGTTGTCGTTACTATAACAACAGTGCAATGCCAGGGTGAGGCAGAACATGAATCTGCTTCCTTGAGGCACCCAGAAATCTATTTGCATATTGTCGATTCTTTAGACTCCTCTACAATTCTTTGTACTTCACAGTGCTAAGCTGGAGAGAGCACTTTCTTCTTTGAATGAGGGTACTATTGTTAATTATTTCAATAGTTTTAAACTGTGGCCGATGCCAGTCAAGCTCCAGATTAGCCATGACGTTTTGTGATGGCTTTGAGTTTCTAGAACACACTCTTCTCACACACACATGGCTCATTCTTGTTTCCCAATGTGTTTACACAGAAGAAAACAGAAGGGCAGAGAGTCTCACTTGCCTTTGATTTTACTTCCCTCGGTTATCGCTCCCTTTCCACTTGTGTTTAGTGCATCTTCCCCAGTAGCACAGAACTAAGTGGCTTTTGAGACTGGGAATGCCAGACTGCTCTTGCCCTTGCTAATTCTGCCCTGTCATTAAGTATGTGATCTTTCAAGTTTGGTGGAGGGTTTTAGTTTCTAAAATGTACTAAAATAAAACACAGGTTCTAGTGAATATACTACCTCCTACTCTATGTGCTGAACTGCACGAAGCCATGGACTTTGCCATTATTGCTTTTTATGGGGCACTAATTACATAAAACCTTGCCTTCTTTCATCAGAGATGCCCCTTTTAAGCCATCAAATTAATCTTTGACCAAGTTTCCGGCTTGCAGGCTCTCCCAGGGGAAAGGAGACTTATCTCTATGAGGTCATCTCGGCTTTCCATTCCTCGCCCTCCATGGGGATCTGTTTACCGATGGGCTAGGTTTCCATGTGGCGCTAACAGGTTGGCAGGATAAGTTCAAGGATCCTAGGAAGGTGAGTCCTGCCATTCTATATCACATTTGTCCAAGCTTCTTCTCTTCCTTCTGATGCAAGGGTCAGAGCCCACTGGCTCCCCTCAACTCTGAGCTGTGTTTCAAACATTTGGCTTGAGTATACAAATGGTCTAGAGGGTAAAGGGGTTGGAGTCTTAGGACCTCCAGCTAATGAAGCCAGCTATTTGCCTACTTTGAAAATTCCCAATGGTCCCAGATCACCTTGCTCATGACACTGACCTAGAAACCTTACTTCACACTGACATTCTCTCCTTCCCCCTCCCATTAGCTTACCCCTTCATGCCTAAAGTGGTTGCACGTAGTCCCTCTTTCAGACTTTAGCTTTTGGTATTTCCCTTTCATCTTAAGCAAAGCCTTTGGAGAGCGGAAGAAGCTGGAAGCTGCCATTAGGAAGGTCAGTGCCTCCAGGACTTGTTAATATATACTCATAGGTCTTTGTCTTGAGGGCAGTCGTCACTTCCCAATACAGTAAGGCTGGGATTTCATGATTATAAAGGTTTCACTTTATAGTAACTTGAGTATAAAATAAATAGCCACTTTGCTAGTGTTTCTATTGCCCTACGTAAAAAATGCAAAGGTAAGACTTTTTCAAGTCCAATTCTAGACTTGCCATTCCTTCTTTCTAGAATGTTCCTGATTTCTTAGTTTCCAGCAGTAAGTTAATTGTCGATTCCACAGAAGTCTCCATTAAAGACATTAAAGCAGCCCATCCCTCCAGTCACTATGACATCACCCCCATTGCTAATGCCTGACATTTGGCATATTATTTTCTAATACTTACCTGGTATTAATTTTTGTGATTATTTATGGGCATAGTTATTGTTAGTTCATTCTCCACTGAAATCTTCCCTGCTTTATTTTTTGCCTTTTTTCAATGCCTCCAGGCAACATCAGTGCTCAACATTTGAAGAGAAGAAATGATAGCTATCCCATATGCTTGTCATAAAATTTACAACACAGACTCTAAGTATATAAACCACTGAAAGGAGTTTACCTCCCTGGTCAGTTGAAGCCACAGGTTTCTAAGACTCTGTCATAACTTAAGACGCAAGAGTGAGGGGATAGGGGCTGTGGGCTACTCATCCATGGGTAGCCATCATTGTACTGAAAGTAGAGACTAAACTTGGAGGGGGCATAGTATCCATCAGTTTCTTCTGGACAAGAGAATGAAGTAGCGGAACGAAGGACTCTGTTTTCTCCATTGTCTCCTTTAGGCCAAGGATGTTGAGTAGGGTGGGCCTGAGGCCCCAGAAGAAACAGATTTGGAAAGAATGCTTAGGCCTTGCTCTAGAGCAGTGGTTCTCATCCTTCCTCATTCTATGACCCTTTAACACAGTTCTTTGTGTTGTGGAGACCCTCAACCATAAAATGATCTCACTGCCACTTCATAACTGTAATCTTGCTACTGTTATGAATTGTAATGTAAATATCTGATATGCAGGATATCTGACATGTGACCCCACCAAAGGGATTATAACCCCATATCTATGTATGTGTGTGTGTGCATGTGTAAGTGTATGTGTATATGTATGTATATGTACACACACTCACACACAGAAGCCACAACACTAAAAGCAGAAGTTGCAGCATACGCTTTGCTATCATTTGTAGGGGCATCTAATCTGACAGAACTTTCTAGCCTTTACTCTTTAAGGTGAACCTTGTACCTGGGGTGTAAAGCTGGACTAGTATGTAAGCAAAAATCTACATTTTTCCTCTCCATGTGCAAACTTGAGTCCAAGATGATTCATTTTAACAACGTCAGACCAGCAAATTTCACTTGACCAGGAAGTGGTAGTTTTTCTTTGAAAAACAATCGTAAGAGGAGTTTTGCTTCATCTATGATGTGCTGTAATAATCCTAATCACTCTGTGAGTTCTGATTGGTAGAGTAAAAATTACCCAGATCTCCATGTGTTGATTTTTCTAAGGCAGTATAGAATAGCAGTCTACAACAAATGCTCAAGTGATCAGAAGTGGAGGCCCGACCTTTCATTGATTACAACTGACCCACAGGATGGAGGCCAACTGAAAGAAATAAGATGCATGACAGTGTGTGAAAGCATTTCACTAATAATTTCTGCTGTACGTGTTTTCTCTGAGAATTACTGATCAACATTTCCTTTCTCCTCTTTAAGCCTCTTTTATGCTTCCTCCATATCATGTATTACTAGATTGTTATTGATCTGGTATTCAAAAATAAACGAAGCATGATTGCTGCCCTTAAAATGCTCTGACACATCTGGGTAAGCAGATGTGTAGGTGGGCAATGTGAGTACTACCCCACTTGTTGGAAATGCATCGATTATTACCACATAGAAAAAAAGTAACGGCTAACAGCTAATAGAGCACCTCTAGCCAGTATCTCCTAGGGATATATCGACAGCAACTAAGGGATCGTGTCTTAATACATTGATCTGGGTGGGATTTCAAGTGCTATTTTCCATTTTTATTGTCATAGTCTACTATGGTTTATGTTTTGCTGGATGGGAGCTGGGGGCGATCTAGTCTCCAGGGAAGGTAAGTTATACAGTAGGATGTCATTCAAAAAATGGCAGAATGCTCCCCACCCCACCCAAAACATGCCCTCAGTTTGACTCTTTGCTAATGTCCTCTGTTGAACTCTTTATACTTAGTTGTTTTTCATAAATACATAAAGTGGAGCAATATATCATTTTATGGTGTCATCTGGTTACAGATCTACTTAAAACTGCTTAGGACAGTTTGTCCTCAACCTAGCTTAAATGACTAATCATGACACTGTGCCATAGATTCCCCCAGCATGGGAGGAACAGTGGGAGGAACCTTAGTGCTGAGCACTAAGTAACTTCAGCCTTTAATAGGTATCATATTAAATCATAAGCATTATGATTTCATTCGTTAATACCTGTTATAATAATGCTAGGATTCACTCTAGATCAGAAAGTAATATCTACTCCCCACTTAGTTAATTATCTGGTCTCAAGGTCTTGGCAACCCACAAAGCAGAGAAGGAAAGTTCTCATCTATTAAAAAAAAAAAAAAAAGGAGGAGAGAGATAGAGTGCATTTAGTTCAATGAATCCAAAGTACAACCTGGCAGAAGAGTTCGCATTTATTGAGCACTTAAAAGAAGCCAGATCATTTTCTCAAACTCATTGCTGATGCTTTCTTCTGACATGGTTAGTTTTGTTGGACTCCTATTAAAATTAATTTGACAACTTACCAAATAAGTTTTCAGAAAGAGAAAACTCATCCGTGGCCTGTAAATGGGAGTGTCCAATCAGATTCATTTTGAATATCACTCTAACTTTTCAACTTGAGAATATGCTTCTGGGATCGTGGTCTTCCAATAAGAATCCTGAAAGGCAAACACACAGACAAGTTCATAGTTGCAATATTGGGTCAGGAGTTACTCAAGAGAAACAGAGAGAAAGCAGTTGGACATACAGATGTTCAAATGCCTCCTCTGTAGAGATTTTCTATAGCCTTTCTGTATGTATTTTCTGAATATTATGATTATATATCACATGTACTTAAAAATGTTCAAGTTATATACCCTCAGAAGAGATATTTTCCAGTTTAATATACCATATGTTTTTTCATTTAAATTCCAGTATTTGGGGATTTAGGCAAGATGTAATAACATTTGGAGTTTGTCTTTACTTCTTTTATATATAGAAAGAAAAACAAAAACATATACAAAAGTTTTCATTTAAAAAGGGGTCATCTGTGATTTATTTTCTTAATTTTATTTAAAAGTTGATCAGGGTTGTGTAAACACACAATAGCAGTTTCATGGTACTTCTTACTATAATTTCCTTGGTTATTTATGCATTATGTCAACAGGTCAACATTCAGAGACTGTTCTGCTAGGACAGACTTGATCTCTTGCTGCTGGGGAAATGCTTAGGGACTCCTGTCTATTCTAATGTCTGCATTTGTTCTACATTGGACTAGGGTAAGACCAAATGCAAAGGATATAGGGAAAACAGAGAGACAGTGGAGGCTGGAGAAATGTCTCAGCCCTTAAAAGCACGAACTGCTCCTACAGAGGGTGTGGTTTCACTTCCCAGTACCCACATGGGGGATTACAATTGTCTGTTTCCAGAGATATGACACCTTCTTTTCTGCCCACCACAGGCTCCAGGCATGCAAATGTGCACAGACATATATGCACAAAAGCCCCCCCCCACAAAGAATTTTTTTGATTTAGAAAAGAGGAATAGTGATAAGTCTTATCCAAATGTCTGAAGCTTCATTCTGAAGGAATTTCTAGAGTTTATTTAAGAGAAGCAATGTCTACACTGAACTGTTTCTGTAGGTCAGCTTGCCTGCCTTCCTTCCTTCCTTCCTTTCTTCCTTCCTTCTTTCCTGCTTTCCTTCCTTCCATTTCTTACCTCCCTAGAGAGGGGACAGTGAAAAGGTGTCTTTACAGCTTTCCCCCCAAGCTAAGAATGGTTTTCTAAACTTTTTAATCCTTTTTCCTCTGAGAAATATTTTTTTCTAAATATTTACATTTTCTGCCCTGGAAGAGAATAGTAAAGTTTTGTTGGACAAATATTTATCTCATTAGAATTTCCCCACCAGGTCTTTCCCAGCTCAAGCAGGAGGGAGCTTCTGATCTGTCTGGCATGGTGGCCCACAGGGACCACTTTGCTTCACCCATTCATTTGTTCATGCTTTCAACAAACACTTATTGAGAGCTCATTCCAGGGTTAAATCCTGGGCTGGATCTTCTGAGATAAAGTGATGAAGGCCAAGTAGCATCCATGATCCATGATGTCAAGCTTAATGACAAACAGTTATCTGTAAAGTGACCACACAACTCAGTTGATTGCGTGTTGTAATGAATGTGGTTTATGAAGGTCCAAAATAGCATGCTCTGATCCACGTGTTGTCAAAAGATACTGACTGAGGTTGCTGAAAAAGGACATGAGCTTTTTTCTATTTGTTTGTTCTATTGATTGGTTGGCTGGTCTGTCAATGGTTTCACTACGCATGCCAAGCTGACTGGCCTTGAACTCACTATGAACACAGGCAAGCCTTGAACTCATAGCCTCCTGACTACTGAGATTACAGGTATTCACCCCCATACCTGGCAGAAGATATGGTTTTGAGAGATAGGAAATTCTGTGGCTTACCTGAACAGACACCAACAGCCTTGATAACATCCAGACAAACCTGATCCATACGATAAACCAGGCATACAGATTTACTAACCTCTAGAAGAACTCTACCATCAAACCCACCATTTAGAAAGATAAGTGACTTCTGGGAGACACCAAGAGCCATAACCTTCATCCCAGAGTGAAACCTAAGTCACAAGAAAAATGTATCGCGGCCAGCTCAGCTGCATTCAGCTTGGGAGGTTTTTCTGAGCCTGGGGTGAGAAAAGAAGGCCTGATATAAAAAGCACTGAAAGGTCAAGACAGACCTTTCAACAAGAAGAAAAAGCCAATCTCACCTTCATTGTTGGGTGATTTGAATGAGAAAGGCCCACCCACATTATGTGCTTGAATAATCCCTCAGTTGGTGGGTTCGGGGAGTTTTAGAACCATGAGGAGGTTGAGCTCTGTTGAAGGACATCTCTAGGGGGTGGACTTTCAGGGTTTATAACCTTGCCCACTTCTAATTCACTCTCTCCGCTTTCTCCCTGTAGTTGATGATGTAATCTTTTCTGTGTAGGCTCTCTGATGCCACCTCTCCCCTGATGTTAAGGACTTTCCTTCTGGAACTCTAAGTTAAAATAAACTCTTTCTTCCGTTACTTGTTTTTTTTTTTTTTTTTTTTTTTTTTTTAGCTGTGGTATGTTTTGACAGCATCAGAAAAGTAAGTAATACAACTCTCATCCACAAATGACTGCCACATATCAGAGTGGACCTTTGAACCCATGAGGGCCCAGGAGCTTTGCGGGACAGTTGTGAAATACGAGCAACACTGTAGTCCATGCAGAATGTTCAATAAAAGTGCAATAGTGTCTTCTGAGTGAGTGATATTCTCTCTGAGAGACCAAAAAAAAAAAAAAAGTAGAAGAAGCCAGAGTAAACTCTATTATGCATATGAAGAGACATAGATCCTTCTGAAATTCCTGGGGACTATGATTGGGAAGACAGGCTTTGCTAGGGAGCTGGAGATCCAGAGGTATAAGCTGGGAAATGCTGAAGCCAATAATGAAATCTCATACATACTTGCAAGCCAGTTTACAACTAGAGAAATTCAAGCTTAACTGTTAAGTATCCATTGTATAAATACATACATGGAAAAAAATACACATGGAAGCCATGTACCCCAAATGTGTATGTGTCTGTGTACAAACACACAGAGAGACATACACACACAAACACACACACACACACACAGAGTCTATAGACTGTTTATTGCTCCCCAATTCACACAGTGAATGTTGGAGTCTTCCCGTCTCCAGAAAAGAATATTCTACACTGCTAAAAGCTGCTAATTGTTCTTCATTTTCAACCCAAATGTATACTCTGCAAGTTCTCATCATTTGACACCGACCCTGACTTTAGGTCATGCCCCCTTGCTCCCCTTTTCTCAGTTCTATAGTTTGGTTTCATTTGGTTTGAGTCAAATTCTCATTATGTTTCCCAATCCAGTCCTGAACTCCTGGCCTTCAAGAATCTTCCTCTTTGTGTAGCTGGGAGCACAAGTGTGTCACTGTTCATGACAGCCACTGTTTCTAACCTTGAGTGTTGTTCACATAGCTATAAAACATAATCCCATAGCACATTACATGCCTCTAGTATTTTGTTTTTAAATTTTCCTTTTTTATATTAAGTGTATTTATTTACTCGCTTTACAACCCAATATCAGCCCTTGCTCTCCACCCAGTACCCACCCCCTCACATACCCATCCCACCCACCCACACCCACCCCCCCACCATACACATCAAGTTGCTGTGGGACTAGACACATCCTCTCCCACTGAGGCCAGACAAGGCTGTCCATTTGGGGATGTGGGATCCACAGGCAGGCAGGTAGGCTACAGGCTCAGGGCAGCCCCTGCTCCAGTTGTTTGTGGGACCTGCATGAAGACCAAGCTGCACATCTGCTACCTATGTTCATGGGGCCTAGGTCCAACCTGTGCTCACTCTTTGGTTGGTAATTCTATCTCTGGGAGCCCCAAGGGTCCAGGTTAATTGACTCTGTTGGTCTTCCTATGAAGCCCCTGTACTCTTTGAGTCTCTCAATCTTTCTAACTCTTCTATAAGATTACCCAAGCTCCATCTACTGCTTGTGTGTGAGTCTCTGCATCTCTTCTCTTTGGCTGCTGGGTGGTGCCTCTCAGAGGATCACTATGCTAGGCTCCTGTCTGCAAGCATAGCTGGGTATCATTAATAGTGTCAGGGATTGGTTCTTGTCCATTGGATGGCCTCTATTGTTTTATAAGTATATTGCTTTTCATTTGGATTTCTAGACATTCTACTGTGTGTTCATTTAAACATGGTATCTTCAATTCAAATGACAGGCACATAATAGTCCCCGAAGAAATGTTGGCTCACTTAAGCTACTTGTGTTTATTATTTCTCCTGCACAGTTCTGCCAAGTTCCATTATATCTGGTGTATTCCCTTGGGAAAATGGCATAAAGACCACATTCTCCAAATACCACAAGTCTTTGGATATAATTTATCATGACTCACCCAAAGAAAACCTCAATTTCCCCAAGGCTGCCTCATTTGGGTGATTAAGTCCCTGATAAGTCAACAACAGAGCTGTCTAGTCACAATAGTTAGCAGGGCTCACTCAAACCTATTTTATTGAGTTCACAAGTACCTAACGGAGCTTTTAAAAAGGAAACCCTTTAATTTTGGAAATGGCAACACAATCGCATGGTGTTTTAGCATATTTTGTATAGCTGTAGAGAAATACCCGTGTCTAAATTAATTATAAACTAAAAAATAATTTCTTTGACTCATGATTATGGTGGCTCTAGAATGGTGGTAATGGTCTGGCAAGGGCATCCTGACTGCCCCAGAACATAGTTGAGAAATGGAAAAAGAAACTGCCTTATGTAGAGGGGGCCACTCAAATATTTTCTGCAATACATATGAATTTATTTTAATTTCTAAAGGCTTTAAGATTTTAAACTCTTAAGCTTTTTCTTTATTGAGTTTAATTTAAGTTATTGATGGTATCCACCCAATCAAAACTACACCTTGCCTTGCAGTCTGTTTCTGCAGGTAAGTGACTTCTCCTCTGGATCAAAGCACACAATAGAGAAAGCAGTCTCTCATAAAAGAGTGAATGCAGACACAACAGACTCCACCCACAAGAAGGTGACATCTCACAGCTTCAAAGAAGCAGACATGCTAGAAACACAGCTAACTGTTTTACTTGG